AAAGAATAGGTCACTTGAAGATATGGCTAGGACTATGCTTCTTTCTAGTAAACTGCCCTATAATTTCTGGGCAGAAGCTGTAAATACTGCATGTTACATCATCAATAGGTGCATGACTAGACCTCTTGTAGAGAAGACTCCCTATGAGTTACCTAAAGGGAGAAAACCAAATATATCCCATCTTAGGGCATTTGGATGCAAGTGCTTTGTGCACTATAATGGAAAAGACTCCCTAGGTAAGTTTAATCCCAAAAGTGATGAGGGAGTATTTTTGGTATATTCTTCACATAGTAAAGCTTATAAAGTATACAACAAAAGAACTATGTGTGTAGAAGAAAGTGTACATGTGGTTTTTGATGAAACTAATATTATTTATGAGGGACAAGAACATAAAGATGAAACAATTGGGCTGGTAAGAAGTCTAAATGAAATCATAGCCCAAGCTGAAGCTGCACCAGAATAAGGAATAGGTAATGGAAATGTTCTTCTATTCAGGGCAACCTGACAGGGAGAACTGAACAAAGAGGAAATGAATCCAATAACTCAATGGAACCTGTCCATGAGCATGTTCCGCAGCAACAAAACAATGCAGAAAGATCAAGAGGAAACCAGTTGATTGTGAAACCTTACAAGAACCAAAGTTCTCAACTCATTGAGAACATAATTACTTATCCAACCTCTAGAATCAAAACTAGATCTTCATTAAAGAATATGTGTGCTTTTGATGCTTTCTTATCTCTTATTGAACCTAAAAATGTTGCTGAGGCTTTGCAGGATGTAGACTGGGTAAATGCAATGCAAGATGAACTCAACCAGTTTGAAAGGAGTCAAGTTTGGCATCTAGTTCCAAGACCAAAGGACAGATCAGTAATTGGCACAAAATGGGTGTTCAGAAACAAACTTGATGAAGATGGAACTGTTACAAGGAACAAGGCAAGATTAGTGGTTCAAGGATATAGCCAAGAGGAAGGCATAGACTATGATGAGACCTTTGCTCCAGTTGCAAGATTGGAAGCAATAAGACTCCTCATAGCCTTTGCTGCTTACATGGAATTTACTCTTCACCAGATGGACGTCAAGAGTGCCTTCCTCAATGGTTATTTAAAGTAAGAAGTGTTTGTCAAGCAACCTCCAGGGTTTAAAAGCAAGGAGTGTCCTGATCATGTGTACAGACTTGACAAGGCACTCTATGGACTCAAGCAGGCTCCTAGAGCATGGTATGAAAGATTATCAAAATTTCTGGTTGAACATGGTTACAAGAGAGGTAAAATCGATAACACTCTATTCTTGAAGGAAAAAAGTTAAAGATCTTCTAGTAGTACAAATATATGTTGATGACATAATCTTTGGAGCAACTACTGAAAAACTAAGTAAGGAAATTGCTAAACTAATGGGGAGTGAATTTGAAATGAGTATAATGGGTGAGCTTAATTTCATTTTAGGCTTACAAATTAAACAAAACTCAAACGGAACTATGATCCATCAGCAGAAATATGTAAAAGAGTTGCTTAAAAGGTTTAAAATGGAAGAATCAAAGGAAATCGATACTCCTATTGCAACAGCCACAAAATTGGATATAGATGAACCTGGTTCATTTGTTGATCAGAAGTTGTATAGGGGAATGATTGGTTGACTTTTGTATTTTACTACTAGCAGACCTGACATTGTTTTCAGTGTAGGTCTTTGTGCTCGATTTCAAGCAAATCCAAAGGAGTCCCACTTGACTGCTGTCAAGAGAATATTGAGATACTTGAAAGGCACCACTGATCTTTGCCTTTGGTATCCAAAAGGTAGTAACTTTAACCTAGTGGGATATGCTGACATTGATTATGCAGGTTTCCTTGTAGACAGGAAGAGTACCTCAGGTATGGCACACTTTCTTGGTTCATGTCTTGTGTTATGGGCTACTAAAAAGCAAAATTCAGTGGCTTTATCTATTGCTAAAGCTGAGTATGTTGCTGCTGCTTCATGTTGTACTCAATTGCTATGGATCAAACGTCAATTATTGGACTTTGGAATTGATGTTAGTTGCATCCCTATTTTCTGTGATAACACTAGTGCCATTAGTATGACAAAGAACCCGGTTCATCATAGGAGAACTAAGCACATAGATGTTACGCACCATTTTTTGAGGGACAACTATCAGAAAGGCTTGATCACTAAGGAGTTTTGTGCTACTGATAAGCAAATTGCTGATATTTTCATAAAACCCTTAAGTAGAGATCACTTTGAGAGGAACGGGTTGGAATTAGGGATGATTAAGATCACCTAAAAGGACCAGTTCAAAGTTAAATGAAAAAGTTAAAAATTTTGAAGAAAAAAAACAAAAAAAAAAGTTTTGGTTAGAAAGTCTGTAAACTGTGTATAAGTAGATTAAATCTTGCTCAGTCTCATACTTTTGATAGTATACTCATGTGCCGTGTATTAAAATGATTCATTAATCTCTAATGAATTCTCTATTTTGGCAAATTTAGACTTACACAAGAGAATTATCTATGAAGAACTTGGTTCATCAAGATAACACGGTATGTTTTCTACACTCTGCATATTTAGAAATAATAATATTTGGATCATGAGTAGAGTCTTACCTAAGCAAAAATTCTTTTATACTTATCCGTTACAAGTGAACCAGTTCCGTTCAAGACTCCTAACCGTATTAAACTACCTAGATTCTTTTAAGTCTGCTACTGAGGGGGAAGAAAGTGGTTCTTCCGAAATTGAACAGGTATCTTCTAATTCTAAAGTTACTCCTGAGACAATTTCTGAAGCTGCTGCAAATTTGGAGAATAGATTTGTACTGGTAGGATCTATACCAGGTGTTGAGACTACAGAATCTGGAGAAGTTGGTGGTAAAAATAAAAAGGAAAAAGAAAAAGAGAGCAAGGGTGCTAGGAGTACTGTGAGGGGAAAGGGAAAAAGAGAGATTGCTTCACTGAAATAGAAGAGAGTGTGAGCAAAACAAGGGGAAGTAGGTCTGGCGAAGCTGCTGAGGGGTTGGTTCAACTTGGAAAAAATATAGATGAACCTGTTTCATCTAAACAGGGCACCCTCGCGGACCTACTGATAGGGTTATCAATGGCACCAAAACTCATGCCCTTCCCTATGGCTTCATTCTCACAATTGTACTTGCACATTCTAAGGTACCTATGAAGAAGTGGGAGATTAGTACAAGCAAGGATCATTTTGGGGTTAATACTCTGCTTGCATGTGATTATGAAGGCAATGCCACTCCTAAAGAATCTAGTTCATCCAAGAAGGTACCGGTGAATAACAAGGTCAGAGCCTTGATGAAAGAAAATGAGGCTAAGCTGAGATTGAGAGGCTGCAGAAGAGGTTGACTGAGGTAGAGACTAAGAGAGATGCTCTCAGAGCTGAGTTGGCAAGAGAAAAGGAGAATATTGATGGCATTCTTCAGGATATGCTGAAACTCCTCTAAGCCAAAAACCAAGCACCTTGTTCTTCCCAGCCTTAAGCCTCCTAGCCTAGTGTAGATCAACCAGTGACCCAATTCGGGACTTTTTGTTTCTTTTGCTCATGTTTTCAGTGTTTTTATTTCCTTTTGTGCATTATGGTAGAACCATATCAACTTTCAATAAAATCAATGAAATCTGCTAGATTTTGCTCTAACTGTTTGTTTTTATTTCTTTGATGGTTGAAATTCTTAGCTTGATCAATGATGATTAATCCATGATTGCATTTGGGATAGCCCTAGTGGCCATGAGTAAGCTTTATAATCTGGGTTCTGCACATTTTTAGGTAACTTTTCGATGATGCCAAAAATGGGAAAAATAAATAGGTTGTGCTTTATACAAGTGATGTTTAGCTTTGAACAAGTGATGTTTATAACCTAATGAACCTGGTCCTTAATGATAAGTGATAAAAAGGAAACATGTTTCTAACATTGTGTTGATGTTGAGCGGAGTTTAAACAGGGCCTAAGTGTATGAAAAGCATAAAGTTTGTCATCATCAAAAAGGGGGAATTTGTTGGCCCAAGTAAAGGGTAGTTTTGAAGACTAACAAAGGAACTCAAGCATGAACCGGGTACATCCCTTGTGAGCACAGATACGGATAGATTTGAGCATGTGGGATGCTCGTGAAGGAGATAAACCTAACTTGATAGAATTGATATCTCCTGATCATGATCGAAAATATTGCATAATTGATAAGGAGAAGGACTCCTTGCTCAAAGAGAACATTGTTCAAGATAGGGAAGGAGTTAAAGGTTGAGATCAACTAGAACTCTTCCACCCAGAAAGAGTAGCATCAGAATTTTAGTTAATCTTTATTTAACTCTATAAATATCAGTGCTGTTATCTTTTACAGGCAATGCACAAACACAGAAGTTAAACGTGAATTGAGAGCAAAATAGCAAGGCGATTTTGCAAGCAGTTCGTGTGTGATTCAACTGTGCAAACCTGAAGCTACATGAACCAGATAGAAGAATCAGTTCCAACTGTCTATCTTTTATTCTAGTTCAATTGTAGTAGGTGTTTTAAAATTGTACCTTTCAGCTTTATCTAGAGGCAATTGTAATAGGTACTCAGAGTTTTCAAGTTAGAGTTAACTTGAAGTTGTCGCAACAGTTAGAGGCTGTGTGCTACAACGGGATTAGAGTTAGTCCTAGGTTTACAAAAGAGTTTTGTAAATGCAGTTTTTGGCTCAGTGATTTTAGTGGAGAGTTTGGAAAAATCCTACTGGAAAGTAGGTAGTGGTTTTTTCACCTTTTGAGCAAGGTTTTTTCCACGTAAAAATCCTTGTGTTCTTTACTTTCTGCATTATTTATTCCGCAACTGTAGTGTAAGGAACGCATAGAATAACCAGATCCTTCGATAATTCAGTGCACACAAAATCAGGCATCACACAGATCACCCCACCCCCCTCCCTCTTTTGTGGTATTGAAGTGTAAAACATCAGTTGTAGTGAGGAAATATTGAATATGGAAATGGGTATTGGGCCTGTAAGCTGGTTTTTCTCCGTAGCTATCATTATCCTCAATTTCCTATGGTATTTTCCCTGCAATCATGTGACAGCATCCTGAGTAAGTAGCTAGAAAAAGGAAGAAGAAAAAGAAAGACCTTATAAATTATTAGAATTTAAAAAAACTAAGAACTTGTATCATACCTGTGAAACGGTTAAATCCAAGATATAATGTCCGCAAGTTACTTAACGTCCCAATTTCACTATGTATTGGTCCATCAAATTCATTATTCGATAGAGACAATAGCTGAAGTTTGTAACATCTTGACAAGCTAGGTGGCATATGACCTAGTAGGTTATTAAAAGAAAGATAAAGACCTTTGAGTATCGGAAGATGATCACATAAGTCAGTAGGGAGACTACCAGATAAACCATTGTCGGGAAATCCAATAGTCTCAATTGTGAAAATATTGAAAATTGGGAATGTTATAGAACCTGCAAGCTGATTAGTTTCTATAGTCAACCAGTTGAGGTTGTGAAGATCACCGATCCCATTTGGGATGTTTCCATGAAGGAAATTCTTAGAAAGAATCAAAGTTTCTAGCTTTGAGGCATTTGAAAAGGATGGACGAATAGAACCTGTAAGATTGTTACTTTCAAAGCTTAAACCCCTCAAATTTTTTAGGTTTCCAATGTTTTTTGGGATTTGTCCCTCTAAAGCATTGAAGACTAAATCCAAAGTTGCAAGATTGAAAATGTTAGAAATAGAATAAGGGACTATACCAGTAAAACTGTTATTCCTTAGAGTAATCAAGAACTTGAAGTTGAGCGAAGAAACCAAACCAAGAAGGAATTTCACCACTAAAATTGCTATAATTCAATCTAACAAACTTTTGTCGATGCAAATGAGCCATTTCTTGAGGCAAAGTGCCACAGAAACTGTTGTTTCTCAAGTCAAGAGAAACAAGAAATGTGAGGTTTCTAAAATATTGAGGAATGATTCCTGTTAGATCCATGTTGGAGATGTTCAAGGAAGTCACTCTATGGTGCAGAGAGCCACAAGTGACTCCAATCCAATTACAAACACAAGTATCTTGAGACCAGCTTTTGGCCAAGAGCTCAAAAGGATCAGAAATGATCTGAGATTCCAAGGAAAGAAGAGCTAATTGATCAGTTGTAATGTTGGTTTCGGTCTTGATGGCCGAACTAGTCACTACATATTGAAGCAGTATTGAAGAATTTCTCCATGAATGCCATTTCTTTGAAAATAGAACTAGGTTCCGAGAAGTAGTAGTCACAATTTGGGACATATACTATAAATGTTTCAAACTTCTCCATTTATTTCTTCTTACGCACTTTAATTAGTTATCTTTGTATGTTATCTCATTCTTCACAGAAGATTGTAATCTTCTGATGATAAATGTTACTAATATAACTAGTGAAATTTTCCGCGGTAGCAAAATTATCATTGAATTTAAATGATTTTTAACAAAAATTAGTATATGTAAGAGATAAAATATTTTATTAGCCGATTTTTTCATTAGATAGCAAGACTTGTTTTTTTCTAAAATTTCTTCAATTCAACTAAAAGAACTATGAAATAAAAAGTTTTAAAAATAACAAAAAGAAAACAATATATAATAATAAGTGGCAATTATGGTGTACATTCATTAAATCCATTTTCATTGTACTTAATTTTTCCTATTCTTTCTCATTTTTTTCCATTGCTTCTTCATCTTTTCTTTTCTATCCATTCCCTCTATTATATTTTTAGGCCCTTGTGCCATCATTCTCTTGCAATAACTTTAGGTTTCTTTTTCAAGGAAATATAATCTATTATTAAAATAAATAAACAATGTACAAGTTATAGTCATATATAAATATTAAATAAAGGAGACTATAATCTAATGCTCGTAAACATACATGAACAATCATATGGAGTTGGGGATAGCAAATGTCTCTACTAATGTTACGCACATTTCAAGTATTTTGATATTTACCAAGTCTTTGAATTAAAATTGTGTCAGGACAAACAAAGGTAGCATATGGCATTTATCCAGAACTATCTTTGTAATTTCATGAACATGCAATGAGTGGTTTTCAACATGAACTGTAAAAGTACGTGCATAGAAGCAATAAAACAAAGGTATTCGTTGCCATAACACCTTTTCATAAAATTTAACACCATAGATTATATGTGTCATATAAGCTAAAGATGAGTTTTTCTTGTTCTACAAATAATAACCATCCAATCCTAAGAAGAAAATAAAATACAAATTCATACAAAAGAAACAAACATGTAAGTGGCTCAACAAAACATAATATGTGTCTGCTTCATGACTTTTTATACTACTTATATGCATCGCATGGAACTCATATCGAGTTCTTATATTAAAATCTGCAGCACTTGTAACCATAAACCAACTAATGTCAAAAAGTCACTTAGCAGAGTGAGTTTAATTTTATTTTTATTTTTAACATAGCACATTAATGGGGAAAAATTATGTCTCTTGCCAAATCAATATGTACTTCACTTATAAAATGTATTTGTATATAGTTATTCTCTTTTGTAAATTTTGTAATATTTTTTTTTAAAAATAAAGAAAGAAATAGTAAAAGGTAAAAGGATAAATAAAGTAGCTGAAAACTCCCATTTAGGCCGACTCTATGTATGGAACAAACTAAATGAATCCATTTCAAATTAAACCCCAATTTTTGACAGATTCTAGATATAGAATCTTTGATTTCCTTTTTTCTTCTAGTTATTTTTCTTTATTCCTTTTCCTTTTCCTCTTGTTACTCTATATATAGATTACTCCCCTCTTTTTGAATATACTTTCTTATTTTATCTCTTCCTAATTTTATGCAAAATCCTCAAAAGTCAGATTTTCTCTAAACGATTCTCATCATTTTCTCCTAGAAAAGAGCTCGTTTTGGCAGTGAACAAATTCAAAGTGATCCAATTTAAAAAAAAAAACGAAAAGGACAAATAACAGAAAACTACATTCACACAAGAGTTCATGTAGCAAAAATGTTGTAGTTTCAGACCTAAACTTTTACAAAGATTCTGACCCCTGCTTCCTTTCATCTTCTTGTTTCACCCCAAGATATCCATGAAAACTTAAATCCGCCCACTGGAAGTCCATCTCCTTTTGTTGGGTCCATGTGACCGGTATTGGAATACTTGAAGAGTGAAGGAAGAGATGAAGTTACTCATATAATAAGATATGATGTTGATTTTACGGGAGCAGTGTCACGAACCCGGACTTCCCGACCTCGAGAGTCGTGATGGCGCCTGCTATTGGGAGCTAGGCAAGCCAAACATTAATTACTTTATCATTAACAACATAATCCTTTTTAATAATTTATTAGCATTAAAATCAAAGCAACCGATTTAACTGAATAAGTGGAAGTCTTAAATTAACGAAAAACTGAATGAAAATGCGGAAGAATTCAACATAAGCCTCTACCCAAGACTGGTGTCACAATACTCACGAACATCTAAGAATACTAAATACAATGTCTGAAAGAAATATATCTGTTTGTCTCGAATACAATGAGATAACAGTCTAAAGTAAAAGATAGGAGAGACGTCGGGCCTGCGGACGCCTGCAAGGCTACCTCGGTGTCTCGCTGGACTGAAGGCCTGCTCCCACGCTACTGCTGCTGCTGTCCAAAACCTGGATTTGTGCAAAATAGCACAGAGTGTAGTATCAGCACAACTGACCCCATGTGCTGGTAAGTGCCTAGCCTAACCTCGGCGAGGTAGTGACGAGGCTAGGACCGAACTACCAATTAAACCTGTGCAGTTATATAATATACAGCGGAGAGTAAAACGGGAATAAACAAGTAAAGATGGAGGGGAAAACATGCTGCGGGGGTATACCAGTATTAACAGTAAATCCAGAGTAACAGTCTAAGGGAAACTTAGAATTTACAGCGAACAGAAAAAACTAATATCCAAATAAACACACTTGTATCAATAATTGTTGCGGTGCGCAACCCGATCCCAATATATAACAACATTGTTACGGCGTGCAACCCGATCCATATCATTTAGCATTGTTGCGGCGTGCAACCCGATCCACAGATATCATTTAGCATTGTTGCGGCGTGCAACCCGATCCACAAATATCATTGTTGCGGCGTGCAACCCGATCCATATCATTTAGCATTGTTGCGGCGCGCAACCCGATCCACAAATATCATACAATGCACAGCATCACCCTTCGTGCTTTATCGTTGTTCCTCACCCAAACAACCATCACAAATAAGGGGCAAGAAAGTAAACAAATAATAACAGAAATCCCGGCAAGGGAATGCAATTAAATAATTAAATCCCGGCAAGGGAACAATATCAATAAGTTTCCATGTCCCCGCAAGGGAGAAAATCAACAAAACAACAAAGCGTCCCGGCAAGGGAATAAACCAATAACTCTTTCTCTTTCTTTCACTTTCATCTCATAGTTCACATTATCACTTGAGCCAACGCTCCAAGGATTTAAATATGTCATATACCTTCACAATTTGTATTTCAACTCGAGCCAACGCTCCACGAAATTCAAAGATCACAATTTCCTTTCACATACTCTTTACAACATATAGAAATCATCAATTAAGTATGAAAGCTATAACAAAATCAGGATATTCGCAATATAAGGACTCACGGTCATGCTAGACACCAATGTATAGATACTCGTCACCATGCCTATACATCATACTCGACAATTAGAAGGTAGCAAATAAGACTCAACTCCTATTCCCTCAAGCTAATGTTAGACCAAACACTTACCTCAACTTCCACGGCCAAATCAATCCACAACAACCGCTTTCCCTCTCGAATTCGGCTCCAACTCAATCAAATCTATACAATAATGACTTCATAGTATCAATATATGCTAAACAAATCAAACCCAATGCCTAATTTTAGATTTCCAAGCTTTCTTCCCAAAATTCCAAAATTGACCCCGGGCCCGCTTGGTCAAAACACAAGGTTCGGACCAAATTCTTATCCCCCATTCACCCACGAGCCCGAATATATAATTCGTTTCCAAGTTCGACCCCAAAACGAGGTCTAAATCAAGAGAATTCAGAAAAACCCTAACTCTACCCATTTCCCCCAATTTCTACCCTAAATTACATGTTTTAGGCTTAGGAATTTAATAGATATTGATGGAAAATGGAGAAAACGAGTTGAACAATGCTTACCCAAGAAACTTTGGTGAAGAAATGCTTCAAAAGTCGTCTAGAAGCTTTGGAGAAGAAAGGGTTTATGAAAAATTTGATAACTCCCGTAATGGTTCTGTTTTGGGTTTTAAAAATAACTGGGCAAATTAACCTTACGCGTTCGCGATGGGACCTTCGCGTTCGCGATGGATCGGGCTGATTGGCCTTCGCGTTCGCGTATAGCGGCTCGCGTTCGCGGAGAGTAGTTCTCCAAGAGCCTCGCGTTCACGTCATAAATGTCGCGTTCGCGATGAAGAAGCTAGTGACCCCATCCCCTGAACCCTATGCGTTCGCGTTTGCTGGGTCGCGTTCGCGAAGGATACCCCGTGAAGCTTCGCGTTCGCGGCTCCTGCTTCGCGTTCGCGAAGAGGAATCTTGGACACCTGGGAGATTTGTCTTACGCGTTCGCGAGTGTGCCCACGCGAACGCGAAGAACAAACCCCCTGGCATTGAACAGCAGAAACCTGCAATTTCTATAAGTCTAAAACCACTCCGAAACACCTCCGAAACACTCTCGAGCCCTCGGGGCTCCTAACCAATCATATACACTAACTCAACAACATCTTACGAACTTACCCGTGCGATCAAATCGCCAAAATAACATCATATACATCGAATTAAGCCTCAAAATCCATAATTTCTTCCAAATTTCATAAAACATCAAATTTTCCATTTTAAGTCCGAAACACGTCAAACGACATCCGTTTTCAACCAAACTTTACAGAAAATGCTTAAATCATATATAAGACCTGTACCGGGCGCCGGAACCAAAATACGGGCCCGATACCATAACTTTCTAATCAGATTTCATTTTCAATTTCCTTAAATATTTTCAGAAAACAGTTTTACTCAAAAATTCATTTCTCGGGCTTGGGACCTCGGAATTCGATTCCGGGCGTACGCCCAAGTCCCATATTTTCCTACGGACCCTCCGAGACCGTTAAATTACGGGTCCGGGTCCGTTTACCCAAAATGTTGACCGAAGTCAAATTTATTCATTTTAATACCAAAACTTAGCATTTTTCACACAATTTAACATTTAAGCTTTCCGGCTACGCGCCCGGACTGCGCACGCAAATCAGGC